TTTTTTTTTCTATACTAGATCATTGCTTTCTTTATTTTTTATTTTTTTTATTTCAAAAATACACGATTTAGCAAAAAAAAACGAGCAAAGGTCCTCCAGGTACTTGGATTTAAACAAACAAATATAAAATATGGATATGGATGAGGATGACATCTACAAATGATGAAATGAATTTTCTGATTTTAAACATGTTTCAAATCAATTAGCTAGTAGTGCTGGTGATAGGGCCCCGCAGCAGCCTCGGCTGTTGCACGAATGGGCAGGCTCGTCCGGGTAAGTACCACGACCTCACAGAAGATCAGCGTAAAGTGGAAGTATGACAAATACTTTCGCGTTTCGTCTAGTGAGTGAGGTAGCCAGAGCCCAAATTTAAAAAGGTTGTCAACGCATCTGTACCCCTGGGGTGTAGCAGATGTCCATGGACGGCGGGCGGTATTCACTAATTAACATCAGGTGAACCGTCTGCTCGTTTAGCAACTTTTCACATAAAAAAAGTATTTGGACAACCAATAACTTTTATGCGTCTATATTGAATAAAGATATTTGAATTGTTCATACAGATCACTGAAATGTCTTTACTGTTTTTATCAGACAGTTTTCGACATCAGATTTTTATTATTTTTAAAAAAAAAAATAAGTTCAGTATTTGGAGAACTTTCAAGTTGAACACTTGAAAGTTCTCCAAATAACTTCTTCGGCGTGAGTACGATTCTCTCACGGGACAATTATTTGTGTGACCCATGGTAATAATTGTTTCCCAGAAGGTTAAAACTATAAATGTGACATTTAAAGTGATATTTTATTGTACACTAGCTTTTCGCCCCGGTTCGGCCCGTATATACCACATTTGATATCATGCTTAAAAAGTAACCTTCCTCAATAAATTGGCTATCTAACAGTGCAAGAATTTTTCTAATCGGACCAGTAGTCGCTGAGATTTGCGAGTTCAAACAAAAAGACAGATGCTAGCTAGACTGCTAGCATCTATTTGATACATGTATCTCATAAACTGTGATATTTAGACAGTGTATTCAAAAAAGAGCTATCCGAGCAATTTATAACATCGGAGCCCGGAATACACTCAGAGATCTTTTTAAGGAGATTAATATACTCACTGTTGCGTCTCAATATATTTATTGTAATATTTTGTATGTTAAACAGAATATTAATAATTATCAAAAGAATAGTGACAGACATAAACTAAATACTAGAAATAAGGACAAACTAACTACGCCATTATTTCGCCTACAAAAAGTAAACAGGTCGTTCATGGGGCAAAGTGTGCGCATGTATAATAAAATCCCACAGTCGATGATATTAAGTCTGCCACTTGATGAATTTAAACGAAAAATTAAAAGTAAACTTATGGCTAAAGCCTATTATACTATTGCCGAATATCTTGACGACGCCAATGTGTGGGGTTAATACTGTTGATACTCACGTAGGCTAAAACAAGACTATTGTACCTGTACTATTATATTGTAAACTGATTTTTTAAAAAAGAGCAAATGTTGAGTTTCTTTCCGGTTTCTTCTCAACAGAAACTGCTTTCCGAACCGGTGGTAACTTACGAACGTGTTAATTTCTTGTAAAATTTTGACGTTTCATAAGAACGCGCAAGCGTCTATGTGAATAAAGATATTTTATTATTTATTATTATTTATTTATAGTGGAAATTTTCACGGATGAAGTATTTCTGTTCACACTATAACAAACAAACAAAGGAAATCAGAATATTTTTTTAAGTGGGGCTCTCATACAACAGACATAATTTTATTGCCTTTTTTATAGATTATGGTGTTTTTTTTTTTTTATGGAGAAAAGGGGCAAACGAGCAGGAGGCTCACCTGATGGTAAGTGATTACCGCCGCCCGTGAACACCTGCAACACCCGAGGGCTCACAAATGCGTTGCCGGCCTTTTAAGAAAGAGTACGTTCTCTTTTTGAAGGTTCCCAGGTCGTAACGGTTCGGAAAGACCGTGGAACACTTCGTGCACGATTGCAACTCGCACTTGGCTGGTTTTTAAATTTATATAATCTAACAATCATCATCATTTTACTGACCATAATATAATTATAGTTAACTATAGTTTCATCGAATTCAGCTGTAGCGATTACTTTTTTTTAAGTTAAGCGCACCCTAGCCTAATCCATTAATGGTAAGTGCAGTCACTTACAAGCCCTTACCGCTAGGTAGGTTCCGCCACAGCTGGCGTAGACCGCGACACGTCCTCGACTACCCTGACGATGAGAGGAATATCGCAATCGACAGGATTTTTGAAAGTTCTCGGGCACCCTGGAAGCGGAATGCTAAACGGGTATCGAGTGAGAGCCCAAGCCGAGGTCCCCTCTTGGGGACTCTTGATCCTAGTCACTCCATGAAGCGTCCGCCAAAGCGCCCTAGGAGCTTGGCGACCTCCCAAACCAGTAAAATTAATAATAGCGTGGCGGCCCGAGCCGAGGCTCCCTCGGGAGCCCTCGAACTTTGTCACTATAACGCGTAATAAAACGCCGAGGTACTGGCCAGGCGCCCCAAGCACCCGACCGTTTCAAGCCCGGGGGATCTGTAAAGGCCCCTAAGGCCAACAGTGCCACATTATGCCCAAAAAAAATGCGCAACCTTGTGAATAATATTGTTATGACGATATCTGATTAGCAGTAATAGAAATTTTATTCATAAATTGTAAATTACCAGTTCTTACTGTGTTTATTTAGGTATTCGTATTTTATGATCGTATTTATGGCTCCTGCTAAACTGCTACTTAAATACTTTTGTAATTAAAGAATTATTTGTAAATTTAAATAATTTATAAAATAAAGTTATGACATGTTGAATAAAGAAATTTTGACTTTGACTTTATCTGAAAGAAATATTTTTATAGGCCAAATCCAACTCCAACCATAAGGCAAATCCAGACAAAAACATAATTTTAACGCCCTTTTTCCCTTGGGGCCCACAGGGCGGTCCGCCCCTTCCGCCCCTCGGTTAGTCCTTCACTGCCTTTCCCTAATAATTAGTAAATTTATTTTTTTTTTAACTCTAAGACACATATACAGGTGGCCCACGTCATATGCATGAATATGTTCTCCATTACAGTCAGCCAGATCTATTCAATACATTTAAGTGTAATCCGAAATGGATAGAAATTGTTCAAATGTTGCTACCCGGTAAAACATCAAGATTGGCACTACATCACCGCACATGTTTTTAAACACATAAAAAATCCGGTCGTCGATGAATTACATTGTTAAGCGAATTGAATTAAAAACTTAAGCAAAAGAATTCGGTCAGATCAAATAGATATGTGGGTAGGTTCCTGATCCCGAAACCGATCCAGACATATATATGGAACCATCAACTGCCAATCACCGTGCATGGTTGACAGCAAGTGTTCCAAACGATATACACGAAAATTGCCGACGGAGACCAGCACTGGCAACGATGGGAATCTATTGTATCGGCGTCAATCAATCGATGATTACTGTAGAACTATCACTACGAAAGTGAAAGGAAAAGATTTCGTCAACATCAGTTGATTATTCCATATTCGCTACTTATTTCCATAACGTTCAAGACATATTGTAATGTAGAGTATTGCAATTCGGTGAAGACCATTAAATACATACACGGTACTCTACATTCATGTAAATCTATTCAATGTGTAACAGACGATGACGAAGGCACTAATTATCCATCTGAATTTTTAAACTCCTTTGACCAGGCTTACCACAGCATAATTTATAACCGAAGGTTGGTAGTCATTATACTTCAAAATCTAAACCAACCAAAACTATGCAATGGAACACGTTTGAAGATAAGAAAACTGAAATTGAACGTGGTATGTTCACATGTCGGCATCCGTTTTATTTATATCTATTTTATTTATCCGCGTGATAACAATACAAAAAATCACAAGGTGCTTGAATGAGCACATCCCATGCTGGGCAATATGTAGTTTAAATAGCTGCTGCTGAAGGCGACAAAAAAGAGAATTACATAAAATATTTCTTTATGTACCACATTCATGGGTTTGCCTTATGTTGCCTGGGAAAAATAATTAGTTCTTAAGTCAACACCAACTGGCTTTAGGGTCCGTCTCTGAAACTTATTTTTAGTCATCACGAAGTAAGCTACTGCTAGAAATTGTGTGTGCTTGAATTGGAATGGGAAGTTATTGGAAATGAATGCTATTCACCGAATATTCCCACTTTTACCTGAGCCAGTTTCTGTGGTAAGGTCACGCAACAGTCTTCGCTGTTGCACGAATGGGTAGACCCATCCGGAGAAGTACGAAGACCTCACAGAAGTGGACGTGTTATACTTGTGCGTTTCGTTTGGCAAGTGAGGTAGCCGGTGCCCACTTTATTAAATGGAAGCATCGCATCTGGGTGGCAGATGGCATAGGCATACTGTTGTTTCACATCAGGTGAAACGAAAGCTAACTTACCACCTTATTACATTAAGTAAAGCCATACTCAGTCTCAGCTTCAATTATTTGCCATTGTACGGATTGTCCTTTAGAAACTGAAAATGGAATCCGCCATTGCGCAATATCGGTGAAGTAAAATTTCTTAGAAGTATTACAGGAACACGAACTGAGAGTGAAATAAAAAAAGACTTAAGTTTTTGTTTACTATTCCTAAGAACTAACCAAATCACAAAGCAAATTCAAAAATATCCTAAACTTGTGAAAAGGTTTTAACCTCCATCCGAGTGGCCCACGGTGGATGAGGTCCGTGTTAAGTCTGCCCGCGAATCTCTTCCGCCAAAGTTATCAAAGCCGCTGAACTAATAACAGTTAACTACATATACAAAAAATTACGGCTGTACAGAAATTTAACTTAGTCTGCAACGGTTTAAAAATAATCATACAACAAAAGCAAAAGTGACAAGCAAATTGACATCTCTTTGTTTTCATTCACTTTTGCTTTGAGTTTGGACAGTTAATTCGAATTATTCGAAAAACAGGATTTTCGTTTAGCGATTACTGAACATAATAATGTCGGCGTGTGAATCCCAGAAATCAGAAACAGCAAAAGATAATATATCTACAAATTCTATCGATGAAGGATTGCCTAGAGAGCTAAGTCAATTAAGTCTTTCGAGTGCATCAAGTCAAGACGAATTTTATTGTGATAAAGGACATTCCGAAACTGCTTTAAAAAATATCTACGGGTATTATCAATCGCAAAAACTTTGTGATGTAGTGCTAATCGCAAGTGGCTGTCGGTAAGTCTATTTGTCTTCTCCTTTGTTTGTTGCTTAAAAGTGGCATTTTTCTTTGTTTAAAGACAAAGATATTATAATATTAAATTAATTTAGTTATTTATAGCAAATTACGACGCTTTGTTAAAAATTCGTTTTGTTTAACCATAACAGAATTCCAGCACACAAAGTAGTGTTATCATCATGCAGTGAGTACTTTGCAGCAATGTTCACAGGCTCTCTGAGAGAAGCTCAATTAAATGAAATAACCCTTGAGAGAGTTGATTCACAAGCGCTACAAGCACTGGTGCATTATTGCTACACGGGCACAATAGGTTAATGTTCAATTTCTATCCTTAAAAATAAGCAGTGTTTTGAAAACAATTTAATTATATTATATTGTATATAATCTTAACAAATTCCTTTTCTTTTTCAGAGTTAAGGGAAGAATCTGTGGAGGTGCTGTTATCAACAGCAAGCTTACTACAGTTGCATTCTGTCACTAAAGCTTGTTGTGCTTTCTTGAAAAAACAACTTGACCCTTGTAATTGTTTAGGAATAGCTTTATTTGCTGAGCAACAGTCCTGTCTCACATTACATAAAAATGCTTTGGAATATACATATCAACATTTTATGCAGGTCTTTACATTAGTTTCCATTGTTTCTGCTATTATATTAAAAATAGAGCTTTCTTAGTAAAATTTATAAGTAAAACTTTGTTGCTTATTAAAATTATGCTATATAAAATTGTTAAGTCAAATACAAATTGCAAAACAGTTGAGTAGTAAATATTATAAAACATTTTCATTCAAATAATTATCACTAGTTAAGAAATAGCTGATAAAAATTTAATTTCTACCCAATAATTTTCCAACCTTTTACATCAAATTTTCTATTAATTCATAAATATCCTATAAGGTATTATTTCAAATGAGCTATTTAAAATAACTTTTATACTCAACTTTTCAGGTAGTTAAGCATCAAGAATTTTTAACCCTTCAAGCAGATCAATTGGCAAGCTTATTGAAATCTGATGATCTTAACGTAGTCTCCGAAGAGAATGTTTTTGAAAGTCTTATGACATGGGTTCAACATGACAATGTCAATCGTGAAAACAACTTACCAACATTATTGAAGCTGATTAAATTGCCTCTTCTTTCATCAGAGGTGTGCATTTTATTGTTTCTATCTATCTAATACCTTTAAACGAGCAATTCTTGTTATATATAATTGGGATCTCGGAAACGGCTCCAGCGATTTTCATGAAATTTGGTATGTGCGTAGATTCGGGAGCGAAAATTCGATCTAGCTAGGTATTATCGTATTCGAACGTTGGAAAGGGTTCGAAACGTCGGGAGTTCAAATCAAAATAAAAAATGCGATAAAATCCATAAACTAGTTTCATTTAGTATAGGTTTTATTTTGTTTAACAGTATTATTTTAGGCAGTTCAGCTAATATACATATATAAGATACAATAAGCACATTGTGCTGATGTTTATATGATGTATATGATTTAGTCTTTATTAATTTGCTTACAAATATTTTTATCTTTTCAGTATCTTATTGACAAAGTCGAATTGGCATGTGGAAATGTACAAGAATGTCAGCCATTGATAATGGAGGCTGTTAAATGGCATCTTCTTCCAGAGCGCCGCTCCCTTCTTTTCTCACATAGAACAAGACCAAGAACATCAACAATTGGACGTCTTCTTGCTATAGGAGGCATGGATGGTTATAAAGTATGTCATCATATATGCAGAAAAAAAATTATAGTTTTGTGAGAAATGTTTCTAGGGTATTATTTCAAAAGTTCTTACATACTTATTACTTAAAAAAATTTCTTAAGCAGAAATTATAAATTAAATATCACTACATAGTATAAAACAAAGTCATCCCGCTGTCTGTCTGTCCCTATATATGCTTAGATTTTTAAAACTATGCTACAGAACTTGATGCGGTTTTTTTTCTAGATAAAGTGGTTCAAGAGGATGGTTTAAATGTATAATACATTGTACCCATGCGAATCTGGGGCGGGTCACTAATTTTTAATTATTATTATGTTTAAATTTGTTCATCAATGATCAAGAAGTTAAGCTTATTAAACTTATTGTAACAAAATGAATATTCAAATATCTGTTAGAGTTTCAGCATATTACGCACATGTTTTATAATTTTCCTGTTGTTTAAAATATCAAACATGAACAGGGTGCAAGCAATATGGAAATGTACGATCCGCGGACTAATTCTTGGACACCATTTATGCGAATGGGCGCGAGAAGATTACAATTTGGTGTTGCTGTGATGCAAAATAAGCTTATAGTAGTTGGTGGAAGAGATGGTCTGAAAACACTAAACACGGTAAGCATTATTGAATCAAGTATTTCATGATAGGTACAACTTCATTTGATATTTGAAAAAAAAAAATGTTATATGCATAATAAAATCAGGTACATAATTACCGCAAACTATTAGTATTTTATTAATATTATATTAATATTCTTCTATTATTGTAATGTTCTAGTCTAAGTATTATAATGTTCTAATTATCTATATCTATTAGTATAATGTTCTAATTTTACAGTAGTTAGTAAATTACTCAATACACTATCAGGACGCCGCCTATCACACTCTCCGTCGCACATAAGAGGGTTTCAGGGAGCGATGGTGATGCACTACCATCCCATTTCCTAAGTTAACTTATTCCGCAGGAGTGAATAACATCTAATACCCAATGCCAATTTCTCAAATGGAAAATAGTAACAGAATGGAATCTCATCCCACAATGTTTTATCACCACTATAATAGATCATCCCCAGACAATGTTATTACAGGCTATTCTATTATCATGAGTAACATTCTTTATTTTCTCATTGAGAGAGCCAAACATAGCAAGATGGGGATGACGATTAGTATAATGCTCTAGAGCAGGAGGCAGGTTCACTCTCCACCAAGCCCATAGGGATGAGAAGAGATTAAAGTGAGAGAGCATATATTTTATGTATTACTAATCCCAGGTGGAGTGCTTCGATTTGAACACGCTGAGCTGGAGCACCCTAGCGCCGATGAACACGCACCGGCACGGCCTAGGAGTGGCTCTACTCGGTGACGGCCCAAACTCGCCGATCTACGCGGTCGGCGGTCACGACGGTTGGATCTATTTGAACTCGGTCGAACGGTGAGCGAGAACGTTGAGAATAGAGGTTGGGATGGACTTGCGTAGAGTGATGTGAATGTGAAAGAGATGAGTATTTAGATGATCACGCTGGCCCTACCGAATGTGGGACAAGAGCCGGGGAAAGAAGATAGAGGAACCAAACCAGGCTGTATCTCATGAACCGTGGTAATTGGACAGTTGAAATTTTCACAGATGATGCATTTCTGTTGTCGCTATAACAGGAAATACTAAAAAACAAAAAAAAAATATTTAAGCGGGGCTCCCATAAAATAGACATTATTTTTTTTGCTGTTTTCATAGATAATGGTACGGAACCCTTCGTGCGCGAGTCCGACTCGCACTTGGCAGGTTTTTTATTGGTAACCGCTTTGAGTCCCAGGGACATTTCTTACGATCACTGTATTTAGATATAATTCAGACAGGCCTTACATACATGGTAGGTCTTACTACTGCGAGTTTCGATGCGGACTCATTTCGCGTCAAGCCGCTAGCGTTGCTAAGATAAAAAAGTGTAACGTAAACGGCAATAGTCGTACGATTTTACGTTAATTATCCACAACTCACACCTTAGTCAGGAAATGCGAACGAAACCAATATTATTATGTTGAATCAATGTTGTTCATCCCTGAATCGCAGCGCCGACTGAATTTTTACAGAACTCACTGATACAATCTTCTTCATCTGTGTTGCTTATTGTATTAACAATGTTTTTTTAAACCTTAATAGTTCTGCCTTAAATGTAGATATCACAATATTTTTTTAGATAACGGCTGAATATCTAAAAAATTAAAAAATATAGATTTATTAATTGTAATCTATTCAGTAGCTTTTTAATAGTGATGAGCGCAACGACAGACCTCTATGATTGTATTACTATTCATTAGTTTTCTCCTTTCTCTTCGGTGCTTCTTAAAACTTTGATAACTTTACATCCTCAAAAAAAAGACAAACAAAATTTAATAAAGATCTTTTGACTTTGAACAGTCAAAGTCAAAATATCTTTATTCAATATTGAAGCTGACTCGGAAAACGTTTTGCCATATAAATTATTTGTAGAGAAATCAGAACGTGCGCATTAAGTGTACCTGTCAACTATGTCTGTGTAACCTACACAGACATAGTTGACAGGTACAAATTGTATTGGAAAATAAAATTCATGCTATTTCGATTTTCCATGAAATTTTTCCATAATTTCTCATCGTTTAAACTTTCCCTGGACTGCCACAAATATTTCAAAACCAAAATTAGCCAAATCGGTCCAGGCGTTCTCGAGTTTTAGCGAGACTAACGAACAGCAATCCATTTTTATATATAAGAAGATATAGACTTAACTAAAGCTCTCATTGAACGTCAAAAGAAAAACTACCACAGTTATTTGTTGTGGTTAAAGATGAAGACAGATTTACAGAGCTCACGACCAACCCCCCAGTGATGGGGAGACGCTTTACGATGTTCGTTTGTTTGATAGTTGGGACGCATGCTCGCGTACGTGGACGACTGTAGCGCCGATGGCGGGCGCGCGTAGCACCTGCGGCGTAGCGGCACTACGCGGACGGCTGTACGCGGCGGGCGGCCGCGACGGCGGGGCATGTCTACGCTCCGTCGAGTGCTACGATCCCGCCACCAACCACTGGACCAACTGCGCTCCGATGACGCGACGCCGCTGCGGCCTCAGCGTGAGTCCTAACGGGGTCCCTTACCTCGCCTCGCCAGTGCTATGCGCGAACACTGTTCGCCTTGCATCGCTATAGTAAACATAAATAGCACACGAAACATAAACCAAAAATAAAATAAAAACCAAAAATGAAATAAAAACCAAAAATAAAAATACCTCAAATGTTCATCCAAATAATTGCACACTAAACAGTTTGTATATAATACATGTGAGACATGTCTCTTCGCCGCAGTCCAAGTGTCTTTTTTGTTGATTTTTGAGATTTGATCAGCCGAAAATCCTCGCAAAAGAACACCGATTCCTTCCAAGGATGATCCGCGAGGCTATTGAAATAAAGAAACCTCCTAATTTCAATACAGAAGATGGTTTGGGTTTATCATCTGCTTGGGATTCCATAATTTATAAAATTAAATCCAAGCACACCGACACCTCAGACCTCAAGATGCTATAAGCTCCTTGTGCGTAGTTCGGAATAAAAATAACCAAATAACTGGTAGCCGGGGTAGAAGGGTAAAAACGTGTAACAACTTGGTCAGTGTCCCGTGACCATGAATGCTAGAACGGGTCCGGCCACCTCACCCACCAGACGAAACGCGATAGTATTATAATTCCACTTCGCGCCGGTCTTCTGCGAGGTCGCGGTACTTACGCGGACGAGCCTGCCCACTCGTGCAACAGCCGAGGCTGCTGCGTGGCCCTACCACCGTGTGCGTGCACTGTAAAATTTAGGTATTTACGAATGACTACCGCAAGTTCTGTTTTTTAGGGGATACAATGGCATTTTTTTTTTGAAAAATAAAAAGTTTGTTTTATTTCAATGAACGATTTGATTTCGTGTGGGCAAACGCGGCAGGTGTGCGCCGCCGGCGGCTACCTGTACGCGCTGGGCGGGCACGAGGCGCCCGCCAACACGGTGGGCGGGCGGCTCGCGTGCGTCGAGCGCTACGACCCGACCGCCGACAGCTGGGTGCTGCTGGCCAGGCTCTCGTACGCGCGCGACGCCATCGGCTCGTGCCTGCTGGGCGACCGCATCGTCGCCGTGGGTGCGCACACACATTTTTTTTATGTGAAAAGTTGCCAAGCGTGCAGACGGTTCAGCTGATGTTAAGTGAATGCCGCCGCTACACCCGAGGGTTGCAGATGCGTTGACAACCTTTTGAAAATTGGGCTCCGGCTACCTCAATCACCATACGAAATGCGAAAGTATTTGTCTTACTTCCACTTTACGCTGGTCTTCTGTGAGGTCGTGGTACTTACCCGGACGGGCCTGCCCATTCGTGCAACAGCCGAGGCTGCTGCGTGGCCCTACCACTGTTACCGATTGTGGGGCCGCAGCGCAGTTGCCGAGAGCTCGCTCCGGCGTCGGGTCGTCGGTTCGACTCCCACGCGGGAATACTATTAGCGTGACCCACGGATAGTTGATTCATATTCGACTGTTTGTCCACGTGTAATTTATCTATGTAAAACGAGATAAAACACAGGATAATGGGATAATATCCTATCCTTCCAGATCGCAGAGGTTGTTGGGACTTACTACTCAACCCCATGCATACAAAATACACTACGCATACGGATATCGCCGTAAGAGTTATTCACCGTAACCAACATAGGGTTCATGTTGGTCAAATAAAACTAATACTGCCCATGTGACATTCGTCAGTCGTTGTTTTCTTCGTGCTACAGGGGGAACGCTAAGCGATGCCGAAATCAGACGTAATATGCATACTTGATCCGATAGAGAAATAACTCTAAAAAATCTGTCGCTGCTTTCTTATTGGACAGTATTGCTCCACCCTGACTTTCCACATGATTTCATCACTAGGTATATTCTGCACGTGGGCTCGGTCCAACCTTTGACTGAAACTCCAAATAAAGTTTAAGGCTTTCTTTTTATTATGAATTATATCGCGTTATTAAATATAGTAATTTCTATTAAATAAAAAAACCTAATAAACAAAATGAAATTTTTACGTGTTCTTCTACGCGTTTAAGGTCCATATACAAAACTATAAAGTGGAGGCTGTCGAAGTTTTTGAGAAGAATTAAATTCGCAGGCGATTTTTTTAGTATGAAGTAATGTTTTTTTTTTTAAATGGAGTTTGTTGAAAAAGTCGTTAAACAAGACTGGTATAAGTCGAGGTATCACTTTAATTATGTCGTCAATGCGTTTACTAAAATATTTTTCACCAGGCGGCTACGACGGTGTTCAGTACTTGAACGTCGTCGAGGTGTACGACTCGGAATCGAACACGTGGCGCAAGTTGGCCCCGCTGACCACTGGGCGAGCGGGCGCTGCCGTCGTGGCGGTGCCGCCGCCGAGGAACCTCTTCTGATATCAACAGCACCAGCTGCACACTTTCGTACTTGCGTGATTTCAAAAATACACACATTATTTATGTACGCACGTAAGAAGTTATACTTATTTATCGTAACAAAAGAAAAATAACTAAAAACTTTATCTTGTGTGCCAGTACCCTTTGTTTGTGGAAAAAAATTAAAACTTCATAGATTGCATTTGATAACTTTCAACTTGTAAATGTCAAAATTATTGGTTGCCACGGTGACAACATGAAGTTGCTTTTATGTTTCGCGCATTGTAAAACTTCACACTCTTCGTTTATCTCCCAATAGAATTAAAAAAAAATCCAAAAAACATGGGTACAAATTCCAAAGGTAGAAAAACTTCAAAAAAAATAATAACTACGAAGGAAACTTAGTTGTTATGTTATCAACGGTCGTCAAAATCTCTTCCCTTTTCCCACGCAATTCGTGATATAAATCGTATTCGAAAACCAAATTCAACTAGGTAAAATAAATGTTCCTCTATCAGCACATAGTTTTAGTTTTAGGTGGTAATCCATGATGTACACTACATTAAATATAACTTTATACATAGCTTACCTCGAAACAGCTATGAGTGCATCTAGCATTTTTAAATTGTAACACCTACTATTAAGGGAGTATGGTGCTTTACACCAATTATTTACTGTGATTAGAAATGAAAACACTTATTTTTTTATAAATTTTACGAAAGTGAAAAATGTAATTGAAGGCAAAAATTGCTTGTGTAACCCTGAATTAGTGTGATGGTATAAAATAATTACAATTAACTAAAATTTTAAAAAGTACCCGCAAAATAATGAAATGAGTTTGGTACAGGTGCTTAATAGTTGCACATCCCTTAAAATAAAGTAATGGCGCTTTAAGACTTAAGATCATTCAATGTCTTTACTCCTGTTTTTTTTCTGTAATCTGTTATTATTATTGTAATACTTTTGCGCATTTCACTGCATTTAGGTTTACCAATCAAAGTGATGATAAGGTTAAAATTTTGCAGAATCATGCAATTCCTGCAATACCATGATCTCAAAATATAGATTATTGTAAGTTGTGATAAAAATTCATTAAATTCTTTGATTTGACCAATTTTTAGGCAAAAAAAAACTAATATTAATATCGCTCGCAAGTGTTATCAGTAGTTTAGTTATAATTAGCACATATACTATTTTTATATTGAACATTGTCTATTACTTCTTGCGTTGTAGACAAAATTGTTTCTGAAGGAATTAACTTCCACAGAATTATAGTAAACATTTGGTATGGTAAACAAACATATTTAGCGATTGTGTGTTAATAGTTGTATTATTTCCTTGTTTTCACAGGAAATAAGCGTATCCGCTTTTTTTTCTATTTGTGTAATCAAGACGCAAATAAATTCTACTAGTGGGTCCACTACTTTCTCGCGCAAAATGACGAGTATCGAATCGGTCACAAAAATATGAAAGACCTGTCTGACTTTAATCTCCACGTCGGAACTTGGTCGGAACACTTAAATTTGGTACTGTACCTAGTCTCTAAATAAATTCAATCTGTTCGAGTCAATTATGACAAGGGTTGAAAATAATTTACATAAGAATCATAAGTAGTTGTCTGATGTTTATAGGTGAAAATATATGCATTTTATATATATTCCAACTAATTTTGGTATTCCAAACTTATTATAAATAAATAGATCTAAATTTTACCAGCTTTTATTTCTAAAATACTTATCAACATAGCCTACGCGTACATAAAGTACTTACACCAGTATATATATATACATATATATATATATATATACAGCGTGTCGTTACCATCGCGACAATAAATGAAGACACGTCTAACGCTACTTGCCAAAAATCATAAAAAAATATTAACGTTAAAAAAATCAATAATTTAAAAAAAATATTTTTCTAACTAATTAAGTAAAAAAGAAACAAAATTTGTAACATCCTATACAACTCGCGCCACAGCGTAGCATTACAAGCCTCTCCTTCTAACAGTATGTTTTGTCTCTTTTAAATTCATTCAACCCATTCATATGCTTTGTGACCTTTACAAATGAACTTTACGTTACGCTTTTATAGGTAAGAGTGTTCTAAAATTCTTTGTTTTGGAAAATTTAATAACTGTAAATATTGATGTTAACGAATTTAATTGTTTAATACAACTTTAAAAAGTTATCCCCTATATGTGTGTTCATTTATTGTCGCGATGGTAACGACACGCTGTATATATATGTATCTAATCATAAATAAATATATATAATCTCGGAAACGGCTCCAGCGATTTTCATGAAATTTAGTATATGCGTAGATTCGGAGGCGAAAATCGATCTAGCTAGGTTTCTTTTTTAGAAAATATCCTTTTATCCCTGTTTTCAGACAATGAAAAATATCATTAAAATGTGACGGTAAAAAAAAATGTTATAATAGCTCGGTCGGTAATCGGGCGCCCCTAAAACAGAGGGCCGCGGTTAGTATCACGATCATTTACACATTAATTTTTTTTTCTATACCAGATCATTGCTCTCTTTATTTTTTTTTTATTTGCAAAATACATGGTTTACCAAAAAACCGAGCAAAGCTCCAGGTACTAAAACATTTATTTGACTAAAACCCTTTAACTTTACATCCCTTTTAACAATATTAAAATAGTCTAGATTAAATATCCTTTTCAACAATACCAAAATCATTTTAATTTTTAAAATGATTTTGGTATGTAGATGAATAGTAAATTTACCATTTACTATTATTTTGAAAATAACTGCTGCGGGTTTTGAAAATATTTTGGAAAATAATGAGCAGACTGTGACCACGACGACAAGTGAGGCATGGGTGGTTTAAATATTGAAGGAGATTTTTTACAAGAATTTTAAAATTTAAATTATTTCTTCTTCATAGTGATGAAGAAGAAATAATTGAAAAAGGAACAATTCAAAAGGAAATAACTGAAAAGGGAAGAATTCAAGAGAACAATTGAAAAAGAAACAGTTGATGAAGTAACAATTGACGTTGTTGGGAATGAGGAGAGAGCAGAAACAAATGAAGTAGTTTGTGATGAAACAATTGAAGATGTGAGGAGTGTGAATTTTGTTGATAATCTGGATGAAGAAGTTGTAGAGAATAAAAAAGATTTTGATGGTTTTTTGGATGCGAGTGAGGATAGAATGGAGGAGGTTGTTGGTGTTTTTGATGATGCTGATGAAATAAATAAAGGGGAGACGGAGGGTGTGGGTCGAGGGAGGGATCATTCGAGATATAGGTTTTTATAAAGGAGAGACGGAGGTTGTTGCCGAGGGTGTGGGTCCAGGGAGGGATCCACCGAGAAATAGGTCTTTATGGAAGGGAAGACGGAGGTTGTTGCGGAGTTTGTGGCTGAGTGTGCGCTTTTAGCGCTTGAGGAAGCAGTTGACTCCAGTGAGGAGGATAGGTGGTTGAGGTCTGTAGAGGAAGAGAAGTTTTCTTTGGAGAAGAGTGGTACATGGGAGTTGGTTGATAAGAGGGAGGCTGAAGGGAGAAGTCTTTTGGCCGGCAAGTGGGTCTTTGCTGGAAGGTCGGATGGAAGATGTATGGCTGGATTGGTAGTTGGAGGTTTTCACCAAAAATTTAAGTTGGACTATGGGGAGGCCTATGGTCCTGTGGTGAACGGTGCTTCGCTTGGAATTGTTTTGTCGATGGCGACTCGGAGGAGTTTGAGGTTGGGACGGTTCGATATCGGGACGGGGTTTTGCGTGGGAGTCTAGAGGAGAGGATTTTTATGCAAGTTCCTAAAGGTTATTTTGTGAAGAAGGGGAAAATTTGTGGGTTGAAGAAGAATCCTTTTAATAATAAAGATTCGCGCAGTGGAAGCGTGTGTGTGAGATTGTTGTAATGGGGGAAGGATCGGAATTCAAAACGGAATTTTACAGAGTAACTTTTTACAGAATTTTTGATATCTCCTCTTCCTTTATGATGTATTGTTTTTCTTGTATTTTTGTGGTTTTAGTTATTATTAAGTTTTGGTTTTTGTTGAGAGTGTGTTATTGTTGTTTTATGATTGGTGGTTTGTTTGTTGATAATTTCTAATTTTTTTTGGATTTTCTGTACTTGTCTGGTGTTATGATGTATATCTGAGATTAAGGGGGTGTGTTGATTGGTAATCTCAGATAATACATACTCTTTTGATGTCAACTCTGATCTGTTTGGTTTATGTATTATGATTGGATTACTTTAAATTTGGAATGTTAGTTTTATTTGTTCAGACTGAATTGTGTCATATTTTATTGTTTCTGTAAAAATTGCTTTGAGAAGTAACATCTATAGCTACCTGACATAACTTCATAATGATTACGTTTCGTTAAAAATAAGTTCAAAATGTTTAAGTTGAAATAAATAGTTTTCTTATCTGTTCTTAAGTGTCTTTTTGGCTTGAAAGTGATCCCATTAGCCATATCTACCATTCAAGATTTTTAGAGTAATTATTAATGGCTACTTACAAAATTTCACTTTTTATAAGTTATTATTAGATATTTTGATCTTAAAATTAATAACAGTAATAATTATAATTTATAATATTTTTTTCTGCAGCAGCTCTTTCTTAACGGAAGACAACGCCGCAACCCTGCACTAGCCAAAAATATATAAAGAAAATACAAAGAAATAAAAAAAATACGTCTATAAGTTTTTACTGTGGTACGACCACGCAACAGTCTTCACAGTTTTACGAATGGTCAGGTCCGTTCGGGAAGTACCGCGACCTCACAGAAGACCGGCGTGAAGTGACTGTGGAAATGTAATACTATTGCGTTACTTACTCGTTAGTGAGTGAGCTGGGGCCCACTTTATTTTAAACGCGCGGTTGCAATGCATCTGCAATCCCGAGGGTGTTGCAAATGTCTATGGGCGGTGGTGTTCACTCAACATCAGGTAAACGGCCAGCTCCTTTGCTACCTTCTGACAATGATAAAACAACATAAATACTCTCCAGAGGTCTCGGCACCACCACGTCCTCTTCCTCGTCCTCTTGCACGACCACGCCCGCAACTTTCTTCGACGTTTTTTTCACTAAAATTAATGTTTACACACCAAAATTTAATTTAATGAATATTTAGATCGTTTAGTAATCCGTACAAACCCTTATTATATTAGTAACTAAGGCGGATACCATGACAACCCGCGATGTTGTTTCATTGACAACAGCAGGCACTCAGTATAGAACACAATTGTTCAAGTAATAGATTCGTGTTGAAAACACTTGAATTTATATAATAAAAATATATTGATATACTAATTATGAAGTATACTTTCATTTTCACACAGTTTTGGGTCAAAATAGACATTTCTTTGTATTTGACATATCAACCGGTAGCCATTGTTCCCATCGCAAACAATAACTTTTTCGGAGGCGAAATATTACAACTTATATAACTAAAACTACTTAACTATAAAAAAATATTTTAGGTAGCATTATTCTTCACGGTCATTTATATGTATAATCTGTATATATAAAAAATGAGTCCCTATTTCCCTTGGTCACGCCATCGCGCGTGAACGGTTGATAAAATTATCGATATATATAAATATAAACCGATTTCACTTTTTTTTAATTATGTTTGTTATTATCAGGAGATGGTTCCTATGAAAGAAAAAATTTAAAAAATTGCCTTAAAAAGTCTAGAAACAATACTTTTCTATATTCCCGTACAAAAGATTCGTAATAATACTTAAAAGTCAATTTGAACTTTTATACCATACCATAAAGTTAAAGTGGGGGTAGTAGAGGGGTTCCGGAAAGGCAAAACAAGTGACTGTGGTAAAATGTCACTTGAAATGTAAACGACTCTTTGCTGTGCATCACTACATAGTATAAAACAAAGTCGTCCCGCAGTCTGTCTGTCCCTATGTATGCTTAGATCTTTAAAACTACAAAACGGATCATTTGGTTTTTTTTTTACTATATAGAGTGATTCAAGAGGAAGGCTCAAATGTATAATACATTGCACCCGTGCAAAGCCGGGGAGGGTGGCTAGTAGTATATAAATATCTACTTACGACATATTTTATTAAGTCAACAATAACTTCACACGTAACGCAATTACAATTATAAACTTATGGGGTTCTGCATGAAAGTGTTTGCCAGTTAAATTTATTTCGTTGAACAATTTCCTAAAGAACGTCTCTATTAAGCTATTTTTATAAATAAAATGAGCTAGTTGATGCTAGATGAATGATATACGGAATTTGTTTACACTATGTCGCGTAGGTACCATGGTTCCCTAGTGGCGGTTTACATTTATTTTAATTATTTTCTTGGTACTATAATACCTAATGGCTTTCTAGGTGTTATTGGTTTCATAGTAAATCTATCAATAACACTAATGATCTATGAAATTTATTATTATTTCTGTTAAATTATATTCTGTAATAATATGTATAAATATTTTTGTTGTAGTCTCTAAAATAAAAAAAATAATAAAAAATTTAATCTTAATTATGAAATTACTCTTATGTCTTTTATGGGATAAAATTTTAAGTGCTGGCGACACTGATTCGGAGTGCTTCGAGATTCGAGAACTGGAAGTGGATTTGCTTCTTATATATAAATTTTGAGAAAAATTTGAATTTAGCTACACTAAATTGAAGATGGCCCTACATGTTCCAAAAGCTCCAGGAGTGCCTCAGATGCTTAAAGATGGGGCTCGTGTAAGTTGTTTTTTGTATAACCAAAAAGTGCAAAGGCAAGTCATGTGTGCAAATGCCGACTGACTGTAACCAGCATGAATTTATTTTTCGTTCCAAATGGGTTTAAATACATACCGAAGACAAAAATAATAATTAGAGTTAATCAGTATGTGCGAAAATCACACCATGAATATGAAATGTCTAACATAAAATATCAGATAAATACAATAGTACTTGACTTAATATTCGAACAAATTGTTTTTTTTTTTAATACATCTGGATGGATATATTTCAGATGTTATCGGGTATCGAAGAAGCTGTGTACAGCAATATAAATGCATGTAAACAATTTGCGAAAAGTGTGCGTTCTGCGTACGGACCAAATGGCATGAATAAAATGATTATCAACCACATTGAAAAGCAATTTGTTACTAGCGATGCTGGTACTATTATCAGAGAACTTGACGTAGAACATCCTGCTGCTAAATTAATGGTTTTAGCAAGTCAAATGCAAGATTCTGAAGTAGGTGATGGCACTAACTTTGTTATAGTATTGTCAGGTTCACTGTTAGAAGCTGCAGAAGAGCTATTGCGTTTAGGAGTCACGCCCAGTGAAATTGCCGAGGGATATGAACAAGCTCTTGATAAATGTCTTGAATGGCTACCAGAACTGGTTTGCCATGAAATTAAGGATTACAAAAATGTTGAAGCTGTTGTTGCTGGAATTAGGTCATCTATTATGTCCAAGCAATATGGAAATGAAGATTTTATTGCAAGGCTTGTAGCAAAGGCATGTATTGCAATACTGCCTGAAAAAACTACATTTAATGTTGACAATGTTCGCATTTGTAAGGTAAGTACATTAATATAATTCTCTACTGCTTTATTCAAGGGTTTTCAAATTATTTTGTTTTTAATTTAGATCCTTGGAGCTGGTCTACAACAGTCTGAAGTACTTTCTGGGATGGTATTCAAACGTGAAGTTGAGGGTGACATCACATCAGTTACCAAAGCTAAAGTGGCTGTCTATTCATGTCCTGTTGACATCACACAAACAGAGACAAAAGGCACCGTGCTTATCAAAACAGCAGATGAACTTTTGAACTTCAGCAGAGGTGAAGAATCTCTTCTTGAGAAACAAATAAAAGAAATTGCAGATGCGGGTATCAAAGTTGTTGTAGCAGGTGCCAAGTTTGGTGATATGGCTTTACATTTCTTAAACAAATATGGATTAATGGCTGTGAGGCTTAATTCCAAATTTGACTTACGACGTCTTGCAAAAACTGTTAATGCTACAGTAAGTATATGGATTATTAATTACACATTAAAAATTATGTAGTCCTCCAATCTTGTGACAGATTATGCTCTTCCACAATATAATGGTAAAATATATACTTTACATTTAAAGCCAAAGCTAGGCTATTTTATAAGGCCTGAGAATTGTCTCTGTTATGATTTTAGCATATAAAGCATCTTATTGGAACTGAAATATAATACTTGGAGGATTTGTTATGGGTATGTCGAAAATGAAGAAATATATTAATATATCTGTCCAATTTTCGCTTATTTAATAAAAATGTATTTAGTCCAGTCTGATTCAATAATAGGTAATAGTAATTTTTACATCAAATTCACATTACTTTAATGTATTAGAATTTTAAATAAAATGAATGTATGTTAATCATTAATTATTTATTAATTATGATCAAATTTATTGATATTTAGGTATAATTAAGGCCTTACTTGGGAAAAAACAAAAAGCTTAAGTCAGTTTCTTTATGTAGGACATAATTGAATAAAAAACATAAATAATAAAAAAAAAAACAGCAAACTCATCCTATCATGCTTATAGTTTACAGCACAGAAGAAATAAATGTGGGGTACCGACCCCGGCCGGTAAGGGTGGCCTGATGAGTCCTGTAACCCATTATTCCAAACACTTGATATATTACCACTACTATCGGTGTACATTTATGAAATAATTGTAACTTTGTTAAAAAAACAAAAGAAAAACTAAATTAAAAACAGGTCAAAAAAGAAATGCTACAAAACACGCCTAGAACAGCAAAATTTAGTACTATGTAGAAAAAACATTATTTCTACATATTACTAATGACAATTTAAAAAAGTTAGATAAGTAGTTAAACAATAATAATTTTTATGATTTTAAAGATTTTTTTTTAATACGAAGTCTTGAAATGATGTGTCATTTGATTATAATAATTTTTTTTAACTTTATACATATAACTTCTAAATATCAAAGTACCCAAAGTAACCTTAGTTGATAGCATTCATATTTCACCTGCTATTTATAAATTAATTAAATAAAGCCCGTGGGATTTAATATTTACAAGATTAAATCTATCTAAAATTACATATTATCTAATAAACCTAATCCACGCGGCATGGTGCCAAGAACGCTAGCTGCATTTCCTCGCTGAATAGTTATGCTTAACCTTTGCGCGAGAAAAGAACCAGCTCTCTTGTCACCAGCCGCGGCGTTAAGCCTAGGACATAAACTTTTAAAAAAATTTGATGTGCGGGGACCCCACGGACCTAATGTTTCAACAGCAAATGGCACAAATATATAATCTGAACATAAAGACTCATATTTGCGCCATTTACTTCAGCTGCCTCCGATGCCGCCCCGGCCCTGACCGAAGTACCCCTTAGATGAGAGGCAGCCAAAGTGTCTACACAAGTGGCGTCCCAAACAAGGGCTTTGCCTCTCTCCCAAGGGATCAATGTTAAACCGTCGGGTCTCTTACCATCGTCGCGTAAAATGCCACAGGGCTCTAAAATAGATGGAACATTGATGGAAACAAGAGCCCTACGGATGATGTCGTTCAGGGAACCGTGGCGAGAAAAACGGCCAGCACTTTTTTGACAAGAAAGCCCGTGGAGACCAAATTTGTCTACACTGACACCACAAGGGCATTGGTGTATTATTTATTATGTAATTCAATATTAATGATTTGACACTACTATACCATGTTGTACCTTAGATATGGATAGTATAGTATAACAAAGCACAAAATTGAAGTATAAATATTTACAGTACAAAATCCAACTGCATCTGCAACAATATTAGCCATAGAGAATAGTTTTTTTCCTTTGTTTCTATCTTTTATAGCTTCAGATTCTGCCGATATCCAGCTGAATTAAATTTGAAAAAAAACATCATTTTTGATACATTTACGCAAAAATAGACATATATCAATATTTTTTGACATCCCTAATTTGTTACCGTTGCTAGAACTTTCCATATACCACATTCAACAATGCATGCATTTAAAAAAGATTTTGAACTATAATGTTTCTTGATATGTGAACCAATATTATAGAATTTATTATAAATAAGGAGGACCTGAGGGTTTATATGTTTGTATATATTTTTTACATGTTCAATTTATTATTATTCAAGGTGCTGCCAAGATTGACTACTCCTACAGCTGATGAACAGGGTTATTGTGACACAGTTAAGGTGGATGAGGTTGGTGATACCAGAGTTGTAGTCTTTTCAATGGAAACCTCAGAATCACGTATTTCGACAGTTGTGATCAGAGGTTCCACTGATAACTACATGGATGACATAGAAAGGGCTATTGATGATGGTGTAAACACTTTCAAAGCAATTTCAAGAGATGGACGGTAATAATAAGTAAAATAATTCAATATAATTTATTTTTTTTCAAATATTAGTCTTAATCAGTATAATTTTAGTTTCTTGCCTGGTGCCGGTGCAACAGAAATTGAATTGGCACAGAAACTTCTTCAGTATGCTGATACACTGCCAGGTCTTGAGCAGTATGCAGTGAGGAAGTTTGCTGTGGCTCTTGAGAGCATCCCACGCGCGTTAGCAGATAATTCTGGAGCAAATGCCACAGAAGTTATTAACAACATATATAAAGCTCACAAGGTATGTTCATGAATATTTTTATAACAAGTGATGTTCTAGAAATGGGATTTCACAATAATAATTTTTTTAATGTACATTTCTTGAAGATTTCTGAACTGACTTTTATTGTATTCAGGATGGAAAGAAAACCTATGGATATGACATTGAGTCTGACAGTGGTGATGCTTGTGATGCTAAAGAGAAGGGTGTGCTAGATGCATACCTTCTAAAGAGTTGGGGAATTAAATATGCAGTTGGCGCTGCTACCACAATTTTAAAAGTGAACCAGATTATAATGGCAAAGAGAGCTGGTGGACCTAAGCCCAAAGCTGCACCGGGCAGTGATGACGAATCTTAATGTTTTAATATTATTTAACATTGCATTTATTCACACAAATAGAACTAAAGCTTAATGTATCTTCTATATTTAAATGTTTTTTTTTTTATTTCTACTTTTAATTTAACATAAAAGTTTGCTTAGTTTGATTAATACATGTTTTCCTTAAGATTAATTTCTTAAATTTAAATTCATTTAGTAATGAATAAATTAATTACTAATTTGTGTTTCCCTTTTTTTTTTTCATAAATAGCTAAAGATTTTTTAATGGCAATCATTCAATTCAAAATAATATTTAAAAAAGTTTCTGTGTAAATAATTATGCACATATCCAGTTATACTTTAGCATAACAAAAGACAAATATCTTAATATTTTAACCTTTGTGCCAGTACTCTTTATTTGTAAAAAAAACATTATATCCAATTGATAATGGTTTATCTAATTAAAAAAAAGAAATTATAGATAAATGTTAAAAAGTTATTGATTGCCATGGTAATACCATGGTAAGTGACAAGATGAAGTTGGTAGACTGTCGGTACGCGCGCACATCATAAAAATTTCTACTGTAATAAGGTTTTCTAAATGTTTTCCAAACTTGCCAAAAGAAGTAGAACTTCAAAACATTAAATGTTCATATTTTTTTTTATCGCCGAAATGTAGCTTAGTTATCTTTCGAAATTGTATTAAGTTGATTGATGTTATAAAAATTTTTCAAACCGTTGGTAAGGTCAGAACAAGAGAATTTTTTTTCACCAAGTCCATGTTTACTTCCACCAAGTTAATTATCAACCATGCATTCAATTTTAAACCAAACAGAATATGCTGGTTCCCTGCCACGTCTACTAAAGTAAGAGATAGAAGTGGGCGTATCTGTATACGATACAAATCGTATACAGATACGAAAACTATATATTGGTACAATATGTGAAAATCGCTTACTGTCTCGTTCAAAATCTATGTATTTTACAATATCTGATGTACTGAATACTCGCTCACTCGCTATACCAACACGAATCGCGATATCATACGCGTTTGCCACAATATCAGATTTTTAAACAGATTTTATGAATAAGTTAAGTAATTTTGAATCTTAACCTCATGCAAATAAGATCCGTTTCATTTAAATTATTGACACAATATCAGATTTTTAGAAAAAGCGCGTGAGATACAAATATTCCTAGTTAGAGCAGTACGGCAACAATATCAGATTTATTGAATAAGTTAAGTAATTTTGAATCTTAACATCATGCATCTAAGATCCGTTTCATTTAAATTATTGCCACAATATCAGATTTTTAGACAGAGCGCGTGAGATACAAATATTCACTAGTTAGAGCAGTACGGCAACAATATCAGATTTTATGAATACGTTAAGTAATTTTTAATCTTAACTGCATGCAAATAAGATCCGTTTCATTTAAATACTAAGCATGGTACCAACGATTACGATATCTTTTAATTCTTTTATTTAGCATTAGCCTTGAGCCGTAGCGAGCGACAAAGCGCGTGAGATACAAATATTACACTAGTTAGAGGGGTACGGCAAACAATGCACAATATCAGATTTTCAAACAGATTTTATTAATAAGTTATGCAATTTTGAATTTTAAAAGCATGGAAAAAAACTCTGTTTCATTTTAATACGAATCTTGGTATTAACGACGTCTTTAAATTTTGTTTAGCCTTGACCTGGAGTGCATTGATACTTAAGCACGTAATAGTAAGGGATGCCAACTTAGGATTTTTCTTCCTAAATTAAGGAAGAAAAATTATTAGGAGTTAAATTTTATTCGCATTTTTGAAAAAAAAAAATGAAACTACACAAAACGAAAAACAAAAGTATAATTTAATAATTCCGTGCTGCATTGGTGGACGTCAGGCCAAGGCTTATGTCTTGTGTGTATATTATAAATTCTTCCGCACTAAACTATAATATTGAATGTTATTAATTAATAAAAATATTGTCACTAACTTTATTTTTTTAATGAATTTAAGGTGGATACGCGTATACGCGATACGTAAAATATCTAGATATTAAAATACATAGTTTCGAAATCTGATATTTGAAATCGAAATCTGATTCAGATACGGTTCTCAGAAAAAGCGATACGACCCATCTCTAGTAAGAGAGTGAATAATATTGTTACGTGTTCGGGGTTCGAAGGATTTGGAGAGAAAGACCTGCTGACTCTTTTGAAGACTTTATTTACTAGCGCTAGGTCGAACACAAAGCACTAGGTCCAATCACTAAGCACTAACGATGTCCTAGATTGTAGCCAAGTCGTAGGTTTCACTGGTATCGCTCTTGATCACTAGTTTTCACTCCGAAGTCGCCTCGAAGGTAGCTCAAACTGAACTGTCATCGCTCGCCTCCCTGCGGCTTTTTATATGGGCCGAGACCGGTTCCGGACTAATCCAGAAGACTAATAAGATCATTCCTGAAACGTACCCGACACGCACGAACATGTTCGTGATTCCGGAAAGTTCGCGAATGTACCCGGTTTTCGAGACTATAGTTCCACAGCAGTTCCTCTAACGCCATCTAGTGTTGAATAGGGGGTTTTATGTCCTCTTTGTTCTTTAGTGGTGTTTAATAGTTGACGCTAGATGGCGTTCGTTCCTTTGTGTTCATAACAATATTAGCATAAGGATAACCAGGAAACTAATACCGAAATATCAATAAATTCGTCCCAGTTATGCCAAAATTTACCAACCCACAAATTGTGAAAAAATTAGTTATTGACGCCAAAATTATCAGAATATTATATATTACTACTTGAATAAAACAATACAACCTTAAATAACATCTGACATCATGAAATGCTTGTATGACCAAGCCACACATTAGGAACATGTATAAAATAAATTCTGCTATAATGATCCAACATTGTTTGGTACAATCACAATAATTTATATAAGAACCAGATGATTTTGATTCATTGAATTAAGTAAAATATTTTCATAAAAAATGGCTCAAAGTAATATGGCTCATTTAAGTAATTTTACTTCTAAGAGATATTTTAGTAAAAATGAATCAAGTGTTTTGATTGCCTAAACTTAATTTTAAAAAATGTTCCATAATAATCCAAATGCAATGATTTAGAGCTATCATTATAATTAAGTAAGTACAATCCAACCCGATTATAACATTTAATGTAATTTAAATTAAATCCAACAACACTTTGATCCATTTATTTAACATTAAAAGTAAAGTAAAGTAACAGCCTATACATGTCCCACTGCTGAGCAAAGGCCTCCTCTATACAGAGGGTATCAGGGCATAGTCCACCACGAGGCCCCACTGCGGATTGGCGGACTTCACATATCTTCGAAATATATATTTTTTTATTATTTCGAAAATATGCAGGTTTCCTCACGATGTTTTCCTTCACCGTGGAGCACGTGATAAGTCAGCACTTAAAGTTAAAAACTTCATTGGTGCCGGCACCGGGGATCGAACTCAGGTTGCTCGAGTATATTAAATTAAAGGCGAGCGCCCGGACACTGAACTATCACGGCTCTATTGCTCTAATTAACATTAAAACTTGTAGAAAAAGTACGAAAAGATTGTCGCCGCTGTGGGAATCGAACCCACGTTTTCGGCAATCACGGGCTAATGCTTTAGTCACTAAGCTAAACGGCTGATTGCCACACCGACGAAACTCTAAACGTCTTTTGGGAGCCGGCAGGAGGGAATAATTAAGATGCAGTACAAAGAACAAGCCGTGTTGAGAAAAACATAATCTTTTATTGTCTCTCGTTGCTATAGAAATTTGTCAATAATAGGGTAATGCTAGACCGATGAGAGTAAGGGTGTAAAAGATAAGAGCGGTGCTACACAGTAGCAAATGAGTCGCCATATCACCCCCCTACGGAGAAAAATAAGTACACATTGAAGGCAAAACAAGTATAAAATGTAACAATCAAATAATTATACACTGTTATTATAAAAATACAAGCAACATTATTTAGGATAATTTTTAACTAATGGAATTTTAATTTATACAACGAAAAAATAAACATTGGAAACTTAAAATTGAAAAAACTCTGCTTTAACAAAAATAACGTATTAAAAAACTAGTACTTATAAATCTAAAATATCTTTAAATTTAACTTTGCGACCTGACCGGGTTGTTACAGGCTGTGCGGGCGTTTTAATGGGCACGGCCGTTTGGCTAATAGGAGGTGAAAGAGTCGGAAGGACTGGGGGCTCCGGTGCCAAGTTGTTAGGGGACGGATTGCCGTATGGGTCAGGTGCAATATACGCAGGTTTTGTTCTGTCGATGCTAACTCAGATCTTCGGCCAGAAATGTCTAAGGTAAGTGTCTTTTCAGATCTCTTCAACACTCTGTAGGGGCCTGTATAAGGTGGCTGTAGAGGGCGTCGAACGGAATCTTCGCGGAGGAACACGTGAGTAGCATAAGTCCTTGAAAACGAAAGTTTTAGAATTCGTGTGACGTGATGCTGGAACGGGGCGAAGTTCTGCCATCCGTTTTCGCAACTGTGCAACAAAATCATCGTCCACGGTCTGAGGGGAATTGCTAGCCACCAGGAACTCGCCTGGTAGGCGTAGCGGTTCCCCATACAAAACTTCTGCAGCTGACTTTTTGATGTCATTTTTTTGTGGCGCCCTGATTCCGAGAAGAACGAAAGGTAGGGCATGGTACCAAGAACTCTTGTGAAACATTAAAGCGGCCTTTAAATGGCGGTGGAAACGCTCTCTATCATCCCATTAGCTTGGGGATGATAGCTCGTAGTACGAACGCGTTTTGTGGCTCCTAAATCCATCAGTCTGTTGAAAAGTTGGGACTCAAATTGACGTCCATGGTCCGTTGTGACAGTGATCGGTACACCAAAGCGAGCGATCCAGCCATGGGTGAATTGATCAGCGACTTCTACTGCGGTTATCGACGACATGGGCCAAACTTCGGGCCAGCGTGAGAAACGGTCTACTGCTGTTAGGCAATAAGTGAATCCGTTTGAAGAAGGCATCGGTCCAATAATGTCCAGGTGAACA